ATTTTATTATCAAGCTAGCTTTCTAAAAAATTTCATTTTTTTTATTTTTTTAATTTATTTTTTGTTTAATAATATAATTTTTTATAAAATAATAATTAAGTATTTTATTAGAAGTCAATCATTATTTTAATTATACTATAAGGGTATTCGTGTAATGCAGCGAGATACATCTTGATTTTTGTATTTTATTTTATTCTTTATCTCAGTCGATGTTATAATATGGTCTTATGTGATTTTGAAAAAGCGATAATATTTTTATTTCTGAATAAAATATGAATTTAAAAATATCGTAAAAATTTGACAAAAATATATTGATATCAGTATTAAATTAATTATTTAAAATTCATATTTTTGTGTAATTTTTTAATTCAATTGTTTTTATTATAATATTTAGGTTCTATAACGAAGTAATTTATATTTGGTTTAATAATATGATTTGCTTATAAATATAATAATTAATTATATTGTTATAACTCGATAATTATCTTAATTATATTTTAGATTTTTTATATTTTAAAATGAGATGTTTATCTTCTATTTGATTATATTTATCCGCAGTTAGTTACACGAATTCAAACATGGAGCTTTAATAAGTTGTACTCATGCATAATTACTTGTAATTTTGAATTTTAAGTAATATACATCAATATACAATATTTCATGCATAAAAAATGGTTTTTAAAAGTTTTTGTCAAATGTTTTATAATATATTATAAACTAGAAGGATACTCGTGCAATGCAGCGAGATAAATCTCAATTTTAATGTTTGGTTTTATTCTAGTCTCTATTGATATAATATGATTTTATAGGTTGTGAGAAAGCAGTAATGTTTTTATTTTTTTAATGAAATATAAATTTGAAGATACAATAAAAATTTGAAAAAAAACAAATCGATATTAGTATCAAATTTTTAACTGTTTAATAGTTCTCATTTGTTTTGGTGTAACTTATTTAATCTAATTTTTTATTATAATTTAATTTAGATTTAATAACAAAATAATTTATTTTTGGTTTAATGGTTTAATTTTTTTATAACGGTAATTATTAAACATTATGTTAGAACTCAATAATTAACTTAATTATATTTTTATTTTTTATATTTAAAATTGATGTTTATCTTGTATTTGATTATAATTATTTGTAGTTAGTTACAGAAATTCAAATATGGAGCTTTAATAAGTTGTACTTATGCACAATTTACTTGTAATCTTGAACTTTAAGTAATATGCATTAATAAACAGTACTTCATGCATAAAAAATGATTTTTAAGGGTTTTTATCAAATGTTTTATAATATAGTACATATATAGATAATATTTGGATATCCTCTTTATTTTTTTGAGGTTTGAACCGATCGATAGGCCAAATGTCCTTTGATATTTGATTTTTTTTACCTAAAAAAGAAAAATGACACAACTCTGTTTTTAAAAAATAAATTTTAATTTTAATAAACATTTAGTTAGATATAGCTACTAATTAATTATCTATATCTATATATATCTATAAAGCATAAACATACAATGTTGATGTGACATCTCCTTGTACTAGTATTCATGTCTTCCTTTTTTCTCCATTTTTTCCTTTTATTTAGGTTTTATATTTAATCTAAGACTTTTACTCTTCATCTTCTACCGTTACAATTCTTTCTCTTCTACGTCTTTCTATCATAAACTTATTTACTCTTCGTCTTCTACCGTTACAAGTCATTCTTTTCTACGTCTTTCTATCATATATTTCTTTACTCTTCATCTTCTACCGTTACAATTTTTTCTCTTCTACATCTTTCTATCACAAACTTCTTTGCTCTTCTCCATCTTGCGATCCCTATAAAAAATTATGGATTGACAATATAGCTGGCGGTACGCCTCTCTCTATCTTTTTATACATCTATAGAAAGATATGAAACAATAATTATGGGTGTTTTACTTTTATTTTATCGATCTCTCTATCTACTCTGTTGTCTGCGATTAAAAGCAAACTGAAGAAGATTAGAGAAACCATATAAGGAGGAACAAGAAAAGTCTATGGCAAAATCAGTTGTTGGTGTGTTTCCTTCATATCTGAAGTTTCGAGAAAACTAATTAGATGCTCCAATATCTCGATGAGATTGGATATACAAAACGTGGAAATTGTATGTTTTTATTTTAAATTACTACCTCAATTTTTATTATTTTCATTTTGAAGATTGCAGATTGTTTTTATAAACAATTAATATTTATCTTCTACTACATTTTTTTAGGATTCGGGATATTCATAGAAGGAAAAAAAAATTATATATTTTCGAACTAAAACATAATTTGATAATTTTATATTATAACCACATTCCATGTCACAATTTTATTGGATTTTTCATTATAAAACATAATATTCGGCTTTACACCTATAATATACCGAATTGATATATGTTATTTATAAATTATATTTTTATTTTTCACAAGAAATATATTACACCTCTCTTTATTCTTATAATAATAAGACAACCAAAACCAAGAAAATTAGTTATATATCTACATAATGTATTATCTGTTATTTCACAAGTTAACTTCTTTTACGCTACATATTCATTTTTCTGCAACCAATATATTTTAACTCTCTTTATTCTAACATAATAAAATATTCAGAAATAAAATTGTACCATAATTATTCTGATRTATTTTAACACTTTATATCGAATTCAAACTTATATAAACATTTTTCTACAACCAATGTATTCTAACAAAATAAAACATTCAGAAATAAAATTGTAACACAATTATTGTGATACCTTTTAACATTTTGTATCAAATTTAAACTTATCGATGCTTTCTTTCATCAATCAACAACGGTAAAGTTACCTAGTTTACAATAAACAAATTTAAAAAAAAAAAAAACAAACAAAATGTTGAACATTTTTTAAACTGTAAACTATGATTCATATGCTTTGAGCCGAAATCATACCGTGAAATGTGATTTTGCGGTTTAGAGCATCTCTGGTGGAGATTCTTATAAAACCATATTTTTGTACTTTTTGTTGCCATCTCATTTCCAACTCATTAAATTAAAAACTCTTTTGTCCACAATGGTAGTTCTTATAAGAACCTTATTTTTGTGGGTATCATTGATTTTCTCTACATCAATAGAAATTATAAAGTCAAGAAAATGGAACAAAAACCTAGAAAAAAAATCATTTCTCACAAACTTCATGGTAAGAATCAAGGTTCTTGTACAATAACCTAAAAAGAATAAGGTTCTTATAAAAACTGTTCATAATGATAATTCCTATAAATCATTTCATTTTTTGCTAATAAGAACTTTTCATGATGGTAGGTCCTACAGGTCACTTTACTTTTTTGCTAATAAGAACCTTGCATTGAAGATGCTCTTATATCTAAAGCATTTCAATCTAATAATTATAAAATCATCACTTTAAAATAATATATGACGTTGACATCCATACGATAAGAGTTTTAATATGTCTAGTACATAACTAAAACAAATCAAAAAGCTTCTTACTTACACTGGATGCAACCGGAAAATTAACTTCTTGATGATAAGGTGGCCATACATTATATTCCATCTCGACTCCCAACTCTCGATAATTTATTCATGACACATAAGAAATTTAAACCCTCTGAAAGTAAAACATAAATAATGAAGCATGGGTTTTGAACCATAGTAAATATATATATATATATATATATATATATATATATTCGATCACAAATCAAATATTTTAAATATAATATTTATATTGATTCTAAAAACTATAAAATTCAACCAAAAAAAAAAAAGTATTGAAGATTCTCAAGTTAAGAAAAACAAAAGAAATCGAGATAAATTTATATATATTTTGAGTTGGAGATTGAAATATGCAAGTAAAAATATTGAAAATTAAATTTGGTTAATATGAGATTATTAGTATATAGTCAATCTACAAATGATTACAATAACAACAAAATAGAAATTTTGTATATAAATTAGAAAAATACTAATTAGTCAAACAATTATGAAAAACTATCACTACAACAAAATTAGGTTTTTATGACGCCAAAAAAATTAAGCGTCCTAAAAACCCATCTTTTTAGAGGACGTTTGTTTTTATAGAAAACTTTTTTAAATAGTATCATATAAAATGGTTAATGCGACGCTTTATATTAATCAGTCGTCACAACTACCGCCCAGCCACTATCCACGCATGTGGGTGCGAAGGGGCGGGTCAGGGACGAGGCAGGTAACGAGGTTTGTGTAGGGTGGCAGGGCAGGGAGGGGTGGAGTGGTAACTATAACAACGACAGTAGTGGCATGGTGTCGGTAGAGTGTGGGCGAAGGGTGGGGTAGGTGGGGCTGGGGTGGTAGCTGTAACAATGACGGTAGTGTCATGGTGGTCAATATGAGTGAGGTAGGCGGGGACTGGGGTGGTCTAAACAAAGATGGATATTTCAATTATTTTTTAGAGATTCAATTCTAATTCCTATCAACTCAACACATAGTCAAATTTCATTTCAATTCCTTCAAACTTCTTTGAGGGATTCCAATTCCAGCAAATTACATTCTGCGAACCAAATTCCCCCAACCACTATGGATACCACCATTCTCTCAACCTCTTTTGCTCCAAATTTCCCACAACTGCCATCGAGTAACTTCTCAGTCATCATGGAGACCCCATTTCCCTCAGGTCCTCAACCTCTTGTAGCACTACTTATTATTCGAGATCGAACAAAGAAAGAAAATGTTAAAATGACCATCTTATCCTCGTACTTATGAAGTTGGTATCCATTTAGTCCAGGGACCAAAACCATGACACAATACAAACCATAGGCGTTTTATATAATAAATGAAGTTAAGGGACCAAAACCGTGGTTTTTACCATAATACAGGGACCAAACCGTGATTTTTATCAAAGTACAGGCACTAAGCAGAGAGGGTGACAGTCAAAGTCATCACTGACGCCCACCTCACCTGTTTTAACTGACGTGGATGACTTCACCGAACCAACAGCGCAAAACGATTAAACCAAATGGAGACAAACAAGTCCAACAAATTGGAATACGATCTCTCAGGTCAATCCAGAGTGATTAGTATATCTGTTTCCAATTGAAGATCGAGTGGTTCGTTGCAGGATTCGAGTCCAGGTGAAATTTCTGTTTTTCCGTGTTTTTAGTTCTCCGAATTACGACATCTTTTTCTTCCTACTGTTTCTTTCCCTGAATGTTATAATGGAATCTCCATTTCGTATGAATGTGACTGCCTAGATTTACGATTCGAAATCATGATTTCTTTTTTTATTTTTGGCATGATTGTCGGTGATTCTGATGAGTATTAGCTGTGAAGATTTTAGGGTTTTGCTGTAGCTTTCGCTGGTGATTTTAGCTGTCATCAAACAATTTTGGTGTAGTGATCTACAAGAGATCGACTAGGTAAAAAGGCACACATATATGTTGGGAGGTGCCACCAATGTTGCCTCTATCGCCTTGGATAGCTGGGATCAAGGGTGATGCGCCCCTTGTGGGGTCCTAGAGAAGTGCCCTGAAACCTCTTCGAATTTTAGGAAAGGAATTACTTAGGAATTTTGAGTTTCCCGTTTACTAAACAAGCTCTTACCTGTTCAATTACTTCATCGAGTGTACATAACGAGAACCTAGAATCTTACCGGGCGATAAGGAAGGCAAAGATCAAGAGTCTTGCCTGATAAGTGAGGCTGATGACTGTTACCCTGTAAGCACTTGTCAGGTTATAATCGGTTACCGTTAATCCATTTTGATGGTTGGGAATGTTACCCCATAAAGTAAATGAGAGTGGTTACTCTTCCCAATAAGCACTTACCAGACAAACATTTGGTAAACGTCCCCTAAGAATGAAATCCTTCTTGAGTGTGGTCAGAAGCTTCTGGTTGAGAAGGCCTCATGATCCAGAGCTTCTGAGTCGACCTCTGATCCATTTTCAACCTTATTCACAAACAGTTAAAAAGCTGTGCAGTTACATATTAACTGCCCAACTATCTATAACCGTCGATCTGTCGTATAGTATGTAAAATGTGGAATCTGGGTGTATAAAAAGGAACTCGATTTTATAGCCTTTAAAATCAGAGTGATCATTGGATTATCCCGGTATTCAATTCGTGATACCCCGGTACTCAATTCGTGATACCCAAGGCTTACAGGGTCAAATTAGTGTACTTGGAAAGCGAACTTTACACGATCCAATTGATTTATCCTGTCTTTTTGTGATCTAGGACCCTCAATTTCTAACAGCTTCGACCATAAAAGTCAACTTTGGATCTTTCTGACTTAAAGATTTATGAAACACATCACTTAGGTTTTGTCGTACATAGTCTTTCTTTATGTATCTTGCCTTGTTGTTCAATTTGGCTTCTATGGTTAACCGGTTTAGTTTTCAAATTCACCTGTCTATCTTCTGTTATACTGCAATATTGTATCCAATATCAAGGGAATTTCTAGGCAGAGATGAAATGACCAATCTAGCTTTGGATTTCACATATGGCAATTTGCTTTCAAAATGCAGTGATAACTGATGGATTAATTAACTTAAGCAAAATAGAAGTCTTGTCATTAGCTTTCATTTCTAGTGACGTAAAGTATTCCCCAAATATGTTTGGTAGAAAAATTGAATTTTGAGGTCATACTTGTCACTTCCTGAACAAAAATTTGTTCCAAATTTAGATGATATTTTCTAACTTCCATATTGCTATAAGCTTTAATCATCATGTTTGGCTTTGAAGTTGAAAATTAGTGTACCCAACTTCAAAACTCAAGTTATACCTCCTTTTTATTAGTGTTGAGATGTAAGTCTAGTGTGATAAATGGAGATAGTACTTAATGGTTCTATCTAGTCTCCATTTATCACTTTTCCATTGCTATGTATAGGCAACATATATTTGTGTTGTTGGTTGTTATTGTGGGATGGAGGTATTATTCGTTCATATATCACCTCTTTGGTTTTTTGTACAAGGAGCTTAACTAAGCATACATCTACACAGGTGACTGTGGTGTAATTATTTATTTAGTTAGTTGAGCCCAATAGACTGTAGGAAGAGTTCAGATGGCAACTAAGGTTGTTTACCCAGTAAGTGCTTACTGGTAATTTTTAATATCTTCATGTAACTTACCAGGTAAATTTTAGTCCATTATAACGGCATAGTATGAAACATGTTTATCCGGTAAGCGCTTACCGGGTAAGGGTCGTTACTCTCACTTACCGGGTAAGACTCTCGGTCCTTGTTATTGCTCTTAGTAGATAAGATTCTCAATCATTGTCATGTTCATTCGATAAGGTAAAGTGACCCCGTAAGCGTTTAGTAAACGACCCCTAAGTCATCCCTCCGTTAAGAGTGTGTTCTCCTTGTTTGGCGAGGGATTAGAATAAACATGATTAAAACAAGTATTAAGAAATTTATTTTGGGAACAAGAGATCAGTTAAGCTAGATGAATGGATCAGCACATTGTTAGGCAATTTCTTTGTGGGATCAACTATTACTTAAAAGGGAGATGTTGGAAATGACTTAAAGCATTTGTGAAGTTTAGGTAAAATGGAGCAGGAGAAGTGCATTTGAGAATTCATTTATTTTTCATGTACCTGTATATGATAAAGATGCTTACGCCATAGAGGGCCCGGTTCAAGTAATAAAAGTCCAGGCCCGGTCAATTAGGTCTACTTAATAAAATATAATCATCAATAAAAACATATACCCTATTCCAAAGAGAGTATACTTTCTATATTTGAAACACATATTTTATACCTTCAAATTTCAGAATGGACATGAATGTCTTCAGTTTTTTGAACTTTCAATATGTTTGCTTATTGTATTATGTCGTTACATATAGTTTGATCAGTGTTCAAAAAAGCTCGTCATGGCGTGCGTCATGGCGCGATATGGCGAAAGACGCGTCTTCGCCGTTACGAAATGACCCATAGCGTTTCGCGGCGCGCGTTTTTTGTAACACGTGGTTTTTTTTCAAAAAAAAAATAATATTTATTTATTCTTTTATTTTTTATCTTTTGTGTTTTTACACTTTTAACTTTAGATTTTACATTTTTATAGATCTAACAATCTCATCACTTACAGTTTCGCAAATTCATAAACATTACAGACTCACGGTTAAAATGAAGTTGTAAAATTATCTTTCTAAGTTCTATATTAAATATTTAATCAAAAACCTATTTTTATAATAATAATCTATATATTTTTCTTCTTCTAATATGAATGCACTTTTTTGTTTAATATCATTATCTGATTAGATAATATATAGAAAACATATATCTATGTATACAATTCTATATATACATAAATTTGCCGCCTTATGTCACGCCTTGAAAAACACTGCGTCCTCGCTGTGGCGTGTAAGGCTTGAGGCTTGACCTTGCCGCCACACATCACGCCTTTTTGAACCTTGAGTTTGATGCATGATATTTTCTTAATCTACATGCAAAATAAGTTTATTAATGATTGGGTTAATAATTGCAGTATATCTAACGCCTAAAAGTTAAATCTGAACTCATCTTGGAGATAATGGGAGTACTAGGAAATTACAAATTAAGAATTACAAAATTAAAATACATGAGAAATAAAAGTATAATTATTAAATTGCAAAATGAATGAATGATCAAAAAAGAAATAGAATTGAAATAACACACATTAAGTGATATCAAATTAGACAATTGTTACAGCAAATTGAAATTCACTATGAGAGGTCATACTTATATTTTATTATGGAAACGAAAAGATATTGTTTTGGGTGTGTTTCTTGATACGAGTTTACATGATACTAAGCCTTTAACTAAAACAATGTCCCTTGACATATTTTATCATATTCTGTTTATTTTTATTCGAACTTTGTGGAGTACATTCTCTGGGCTAAGGTCTAAAGAAGAAATAAAAATACAAACAGTCTCTCATTGTCACCATAATACTTATGATGTGCATTATACGTGTACAACAACCATTATCCCAAACTATGTTTGATGTTTGTGTTTCTCCATTTTTTATGATTTTTTAAATATTTAATCAGGTAAAAAGTATAATTGTAAAGTTTGTAGTCTGAAACCCTTGTAAGCGTAGTCCAACAACTAGCATTCAAATGTTTGTTTGTGTTTCCTCCATTTGGTTGCTCTTTGCAATTTCTTTTTTTCTTTTCCATTTTAGTAGGTTTTTTGCACCTCATATTAAACTAGTTTACATTCTAATCTGTAGAAGGTTTATTTTTGTATATTGTGGAAAAATGGGTGGATTGCTTATAAGGTTGACTGTGATGCTAATTACTTTAGTTTGTAAAGTGAACCTTGTAAGAATTTGAATTTGTCCTATTACCTTGATATCAGTTAAGATTTATTCTACTATCAGTAGCTGTAATGCATATTCAGTTAGTATTGTTTTCTCTTAGAAGTGGTCTAATTATTTTAAACTGGAGACAGTCACCATTTATACTTATTTATATGCCGCATAAGTATTGTATCTCCTAAAATCCGTTTAAAGTAAGCTTTCAGATGACCATTGTGTCATTACACGTATACTCATTCCATGTGCTTGCAGGTTGATGACCTCAAGACCTTACTTAAATGTTGCATAAGCAACAAGACAGTTGCATGTGAAGCTGCGGTCTATTTGGTATAAACAGTTTTCTGAAGATCAAGCTTGGCAGCTTGAAAATGTTTGTTTTTATAAGATGGGGATTCTTTCCTAGAGATATCGTTCACATTGTTTCCTGAGTTACACAATTTCTTTATCAGATTTCTTTATTATGGGAGACTCATTTCAGAATCATGTTCCATCAAGAAGCCCTGAAGCAGCAGGTTCCATGGCCAGCAGAAAGGATTCCAAATTAACTTTGGTTGCTTCTGTCTCCAAGCCTCTTTCCCACACATCTTTAAAGCAAATACCATTATTTAACAATGGGAAAATCAGAAAATCGCCTGTGAATGATTTGGCATTGTTTCTACTGAAAGTTGGTGCCTTGGAGACGGTGAGGAGAGTATCAAATGCCAGGTGCCCTTTTATATGGTCTGGTTTGCAGGCTTTACAAGTTTTCTGCTATCCACCACTTAAGTGGCTCCAAAGATGGGATCCTTTTAGGAATTTAATTAAAGGGGCGCAGGTTTGTCTTTGTGTCACTTTATGGATTAAAATGCATACAGATACATCTCACTATGAATAATGATGTTCAAATATCATGTTGAAGTTGCATAAGCATATCTTACCCCCTCGGTTTTGATCCCTGATAGACCGCCTGGATGACCTATTGATTCTAAAATGTTATCTAGATACTCATTGATTAATAGAGATATTTCTAACTCTAATAACTGTATAATATTGACAATAGGTGTTTTGGGACCATAAGTTGAATATAAGTGATGAACAAAATCATAATGACATATGCCGCTCATGTTGATAGTTATGCATCTTACATGTTCAAGTTTAGGAGCCTAGAGACTCATGACACGGATTCATAGCTAGTAAATAGAAGTCCAACACGGACAAAAAAAATTTAGCAACCTGTTCTCTATTCATTAGGATTCTAAAATATCTATTTTGTATATGGATCCGTTGACTGCATAATCTTAATGTTAGTTCTATGATCTGCATAACTTTGATTGTTTGTCATTGACTGTTCATTGCCGTGCCTCTTTGTTGCACATTCTGGAAGTAGGTCATAGGCCGCATTCATAGATCTAATGCATTACCCTTCATAATTCTTGAATGTTGATGGCTATGGCTTTCCTTGCTGCTAGATATTGTCAACGCCATTACTAGTGCTCTCCATTGCAACGACTTTCTCTAATCAGTCTGAACAAAACAATCTCGACTCAGATGATATAGAAAATTCAGATAGAAGAATTGATTGTGATGCTGTTCCAGAATCTCATTCTGAGTTGCCTCCCGTATCGTCAACTATTGATATGAGGTATGCGACGAAGCATAATCGTGTTTATTTATCGTTAAGACTTGGCTTGACTCGAATAATGTCTTCTAACTTTATGGATAAGTACTACTCATAAAAGATTGAAAACAGAGCGCTGTAATAGGCCTCCACATAAAGATTTAACTGAAGGGATGGCCGTTCAACAAGAAATATGTTCCACGCCACCACCAAGCCTTTCATCCCAAACTAGTGTGGTGGGTGAAAAATAAAACTCTATCAGGAAGAGGCAGAGAAATATAACCAGTGATAGGGCCACAACCTTGCTAAAGTTAAACGAAATGTTGGTGTAACATTAACCTCTAGTAGTGGGCAGTGTGATGCCTCAGGTTTGACCCATTGAAAACTTCCCTAGGTTCCCTAGGGTAGAAACACGAAAAGATAAATGTAAAACAACAAAAGGGTATACAAAGAGGGTTAAAGCAAAGAACTGTTCTGATCTAATTGAAGGCTTTACCTTCTTTGTTCCATGTCATCTCTCACAAAGTCGGATAGGCTATTCGTGTGTGACCTATTATTAGGCTTGGATTTTTTTCACCACTAACACTTGCATGAACTTACACATGGAAGGGTAGCTATCTCTTCAAACCCTTCACAGTTTAGCTCAGAAAGTTTTCCTGCTTTATCAAGATATCTTTATAAGTGTTTAATTCGTTTTGACATGCCATTTGCAGGGTCAATGATGAAGCTCAGTTACATCAATCAGGTAGAAATTGGTTGCTTGATCTTTATAGAGAGCTGGACAACCAGGGTGTTCATTTACCTGAAAGGTGATTTAGTACAATCAGGATATATATTTATTACATTCTTGGAGTATATTGATATAGTGATAATGGGTAAAAACTGAATAACAAGGTGAAATCTACAGAGCATATCAATTTTACATGCTAAAGAGACCATGGAGCAAAAGAAACCATGATCTACTAGTAAGACACAATTATTTTCTTAAAAATATTTGTTAGGTTCATGCATGAGCATTGGCTGGTTTAATAAATTAGGGTTTAGTATCCCCTATGTATATAGGATTAGCCAAGTCACCAGGGAGGAGAAAAATTATTTAATAAGTGTATTTTTAGTTTTCTAGGGTAATAGGACTATGGTTAGCAGTTATTTTATTGGAACTAGTAGCTACCGTAGATTGGGGGCTAGAGTGCGGATAGATGGGATAGCAATGCCCAACATGGTCGGAGTAAGAGGATCTGGTTCTAGCACTTCATTTTAAGTGGTTTGGTGTTTTAGTATTTTAGTACTATATCCTCGCCCTTACTTTTCGTGGCTGGTATTAACCTTTTTTCCTCGTATCTCCTTCCTGATGTTGCTATTACTGTTTACTGTCATTACTGTAGACAAAGAAAAGAATTTTTTGACCGTTTCTTTAACACTCTCTAAAACCCTTTTACAAGCCAAAGGTATTAACTTAAACAACCTCTCTATCCCTTGGGGTAGAGCAAAGGTGTCGTACATCCTACGCTAGGCTTATTTTCCTGGGCTGACACTTTATAGGTTGTTCACAATTTTATTTGGGTTTGGGCAAAGGAATAACCAGTTAAATTGGGATGACAAGATCGGGTTTTGCTTGCAGTGTTTGTTGTTGATATTCATTCTGATTTTCAAAAAGAAGAAAAGAATAAATATTTGAAACCTGGTCAGATGAATACAAATGGGGTAACATTTGTAAGATACTCAAAAGGGAATAGCATGCATATTATACATGTAACAGAAGTAGAAGTAAGAATTTGTCACTGACATGTAAAATATATTATGTTAAGTACAGTCATAATCATTTGTATACAAGTTGTCAGTTCAGTAGTGGTTTTGGATCTGACAAGCCACCAACCGAGCCTTGAAAGATCCCCTGACATTCACCACTACCGGCTCAACCACTAGTTCAAATCAGCAGTTTCAGTGCGGATTGGCAGTCCATGGTTATTTTGGTGACCCACCCAACATAAATTATATGGAGGTTAAAGAGGGAAGGAATTCTTTTGATAGCTTGTAGAAGGCATACATGGCTTAAATAGTTGAAGTCGAACACAACTGTGTCTTGAAGTCTTGAAAAGATCTGATCAATAAGTTCGGTCTCACCTCGAGTTATCTAGCTGCATTGCCACTCAGCCACAAATCCCCTGCCATACTTTGATCTACTTATGTATTTCAGAGTCATCATGCTGTTTCACCATTCTTATATCGACTTGCTTTGCGTTATGAGTATTTATCTTTAAATCTTTTGTTTAGTGACACACTGATGTTTATGCAGGATAAATGAGGATGAGCTTTGTAAGTTCCATTCTGCTGCAAATGGTGATTTTTCTTGTTTGCTTACATTAGTCAAGAAGGCAATACATTGGAGGGAAACTTATCGAATTCTTTCAGAAGAAGAACTTGAGATGTGGTCAAATATGGTCTTTTGGCATGGATTTGATGTTGAGAACCGCCCCTGTCTTGTCGTTCGGCTTGTTGCTTGCGTCAGCTTGCCGCCTAGCGAAAGACCTCGCTTTGCACAAGCCATTGGTATGTTCAATTCTATTTGTTTTTTGCAGTTGTAGTACTTCTCCTTCCTACTCATGTGATTATGACACTTGCAATTAATCTTTCGAAGACTTGCTCACCAACAAAACTTGACTTACAAACTTCATGTTTTGCACTTACTTTCCACTCGGGGTAACGGCATCATTTTATTCTGTTTCTATATCTCTCTCTATGCCATCAATTCTGCCAGTAAAGACAAAAGTCACCTCTATTGAGATTTTATTAAATCATGTATATTTTTGTCACATGTGGTTGATTAAATATGGTAAGTTTCTTGCACCACAGACTGCATGTAGATCCCAATAGCTAACTTATAGACACAATTAATGCTGATGTTATTTTTGCCATCACAGTATCTCAGGTAGAACATGGGATCCTACATCTCGTAGATGCTGAAAATCCTCAGATCACAGTATTGGTGGACTGTGAAGGACTGTCTCTAAGGTTCCCCATGCAACTACTTAGATCCTGTTCAGCTACCCTGCAAGAAAACTACCCAACTCGGCTGGGCTGTTTGTTTATTATTCGGCTTCCTCCAGTTGGAAGAGTTATAGCACAGACTTTTATTCAAGTAAGCTTCATGCTCTATTGCACTCCATGTACACTTCTTTGTTCCAATAATCAGAAACATGATAAAATTTAAAAACCAGTTCTTCTTTCCACAATCCAGGTTCCCTTTTGGTTCTGTATGAACAAGAATTTTGGTCCTAGCCATGGGCCATAAAATGATGTAAACTTCCCAAACTACAGGAACTTATTTACCATCTTTATTTTTGTAATGTTTCCATCTCTAAAGTTTTGGCCAATACATAGCAGTAGACTAAGAAACTTGCATTATTTCAGGTATTATAGTTAACATAGTAATTTAAATATTTTTATAATTAATAGGCTTTATTCCAAATAAGTAAGGGATATATATTTATATTATCACTAAAATTGACTTCTACTTCTCCACAAGGGAATTGTAGGCAACGTAATGGACTTCGCTTATCTTTCAAGTCCAATTCAAACTTTTGATTCAAATTGCCCATTTGACTGTAAATCACAACACAAACAGATCTTATCTGCATCTAGATCTAATCTATGTTGTTCTTCACACTTCGGTGATCTTTATGAGGATGGTAGATTGCATGCACATCTTTAAGGCTTCACTTTCTCATTCTTGGAGCACTTCCAGTAGTTCTACAGAACGACTGTTTTACACATCACAAGGGATGATAGAAGACCAAAATTGTAATTTATAGTCGATTTTCACCACTTACAATTTCCTCAAGCACAAATCCAAAATGTCATGAATCACATTTTCACGATACATAAGCCTTAATTAGGTATCAACATTCAAACTGTGATTGAATTAAGTTTAGCCATTACAATTAACATAGTAGCAAATATTATACTCCAACTTGATAAACTTATAAATATTTTGTTTGGATAAACTTCTCTCAGCATTCTAATTTTCCCGATAGATAAATATATCACAGCCAGCATACAGCACCTCATCTGAATTTCCATGCTGAAATTAGCAGCACTTAAATAAAATCTTGACCAATCTTACCAGGGGTTCCATCTCCTTTACCCAAATAAAGTAAACCCTTGACCAGTTACATATCAATGAATGCATTGATCATATATTTTCTGTGTCGAATATTGCTTTCCAAATADCTGTTGTTTACTCATTATTGGAATTCAGTAAATAATAATTTTTAACCACTCAAAATTTAGTTCATAGTTAATATGTTTTAGTTCTCTAATTTAAAAGCCATTGGAGWATGAAGTGTGAAACTCTCAAATGTGGATGTCACATGAATAAGTTATAAGCTTTTGCTTTTGGTCAAGATATCTGTTTTCTTTCAGTCATGCTTAGCTTTCAAATTTATATTAAGTATGGCTTGGGTTTTAATTTATTTTCGATTTTAATCTCCATTCAACAATTATTGTCTATTTTATCTTCTTCTTTTTTGTAATCTTTTACATATTTTTTTGGATATAGGGATACAGTATATTGGTATTCAAATACATTATGAAGTTCAGGTTTTAGAAATGGATACCGATACACCAATATCCATTTAACAATTGTTGGATGCGGGCATGGGTTGTCATTTAAATATCCATTGGAAGTTTATAAACAAATACTCCCTCCATCCCAAAATAAGTGTCCACAATTAAATTAGTACACAGTTTTAGACATGCATAATTATTATACTTTTTAGTTGATCAAAAAACAATTTTATTTCTCTCTTATCAACTCTTAAATATTCGTGCATTAATTAAGGGTAGATATGGAAATTTAGTTATTTGTTTTTGAAGGTGGACACTTATTTTAGGACAAACATAAGTAGAAACATGGACATTTATTTTAGGACGGATGGAGTATATGGTTTGTTATTTGGATGCAGATACTAACAATTATATTCGACCTCTTTTAACATTTGTTTACTACCTATAGATGAATACATGTCTACTTTGGAAGAATCAAATTGTTCTAGGTCAATTATTGCTGTCTACAATCATTTTAAATTTATCAAGCAATTAACTTTTCTGAGCTCATAAATGTTTATAGAAACATCATGCTGTAAAAATGTACTTACTAAATTATTCCTTATTAGGTTCTTAAACCTGCAACCCGACAAAAACTTAAGATAATAGGTCGGATGTACAAAGACTCCCTCTCGGAATACCTCCAAACATTCCCATCGTATCTAGGTGGAGAATGTGCATGCTCAAGATGTGCAAAGCTTAGCAACCCCCATATGCAGCTTCCTGAATTCAACCAAGAATTTAGCAGCAACAGAGAACTAGATGCAGATATCGACAACACCGAGAGATTTTCTCCAAATTATCAGTTCCCTGATGTGAATGAAGGTTGTGAGAAGGTGTTGAGATCTGCTGTGGTCGGCATTCTCATGGTCTGGGTGTTGATTGCTCTTATAGCTGGACTGGTCGATCCTGAAAGCCGTCCAACGTTACCACACTGAGGTATGAACACACTTTTTCTTTTGGTTTCATTAGATATGATGTGAATAAATTGTGCATATTTCATTAGATGGTCTTTTGCTTATTCGTGCAATAATCTGTGTCCTTATTATGTATTTCTGTGAACTACTAGAGACCCTCGAATGTATACCACTATAGCGCTTGCTCACAAAAACCCTTTTATGTATATCGAAAGTTATAGTTTGCTTCACGTAATTTTTAATGGGCAGCGTGTTTCTTGAGTACCGAATTGAATTCATATGACCTATTACAGGTTTGTGTTTGAGATTTTTGAATACAATGTGTTATATTAGCAATGTAAGCCTTGAATCTGTTGGAGATTGTCACCAGATTCAAGGCTTACATTAGCAATATGAGGTAGGTAAATGCACACCTCCATGCTAATTTCTTCCTTACATATATCAACATCAAGACTTACTTTTTACATTTTCAGTTGTATGATTTGACCTTATTTTGATATAAATAGATGTGCATATAGCAACACCTATTTTTTCGACTTCTCAACAAGAATCGAACCCTCTTCAATGTTGTTCCCATCCTCAACTTCCACACTCACCGCTCTAAAGCTGTGATGAATATAGGTTATGTCATAGGGCTCCTACCTGTAGGTCGCCAATTTTAATCTCCTCAAGGCCACCGGAGAATTTCCTAACTATTTTCTTCAAGGCCACCGGAGAATTTCCTAACTATTTTCTTCAAGGCCACATGGAACTTACGAAGGTGCTCACAAGTTGGCCCAAACTCACGGTTTTAAAGGAAAAAAGAAAGAAAGATGCATTTGACAGTTACCCGCCTTCTTCGAGTTTCCATGTTCTGTTCTTGGACGCTTGAAGGTGCTGCAGAGAGTTGGATTGTTACTCCCACTATCACTTTTCATCCTTTTCCACCTTCACCCGTGACAACACCATGAAACTTTGTGTAAAAAAAGAAGAATTATGGAGTAATTGTACGGACCCAGCTCAGGAATACTCGGACAACAAATTCTGGTACAGCCTGTATACGTTTTTAACGGTGGTACAAAATAATTACCGTAATATAAATTGAAATTAAAATTAGTTTCAGTTATAAAATACTGTATAAAACACAAAGAAATCAAATTTCATTTCAATGATTAACTGTTAGGGGTTGTTTGGTTCATTGATTTGGATGGAATTGAAAGGAATTGGAATGATCAAATCTTTTGACCAAATTCCAAATACAATGTTTGGTTCATGGAATAAAATTGATGGAATCCTTTCAATTCCAATAAATTCCTTTACTCACAGATTTTACATTCCACGGCAATACCCTCGGATTTCAATTCCTTTCTGACAAATTCCTTTCCTAATCCAAATTCATTCAACGTTGCATCTATCATCTCATCTAATTATTAACCATCAAAACTCAATTTGAGTTTTGACATATTACTGTAGCTTCTCAATTTTTCGGCAACGATGTAATATGGTGGCACTTGTGAAATCATTAAGGTGACACTTTTAATGGTCTAGTCTTGAATGTTTTTCCAATTGTGTGGTGGCACGAGACCCAGGTGGTGCATGTGGTGTCACAAGCCATCATTTTGTTCATCCGTCGAAGTGTAAAAAATTGTAGGGTCATGAAAAGTGTCATTTTATCAATTTGTTGTGTGTCATCGTATATAATTTGAAATTACAATGAAGACACAAGTTTCTCATAGCAGGTAGGTTTGCAAGGCTTTTCTTCAGCTTCAAACCTCAGTTTGAATCTCATTAGTATCATCTTCTTGGTTTTTAGCTTTTAATTTCAGATTTATTATGTTTCTAAAAAAATAGTAAAAGACTTGAACACAATACCTCACATATGAAAAACAATGAATTAACCAACTAACTAATGACGATTCTATAAAAAATATCCTTATATTTACTTTTTTATAGTCAAATGATGTCATCACTGAAACTGGCATACAGACATAATATACCTGAATCTGAGCTATGCAAATATGCCAATCCCAGGTCCATTCAACCAGCCATTTATGAACAAGCTTGTGTTTAATAAAAAGGAAACATAATTAATATTTTTGTCATGTAAGCAATATATTGCATGTGTATAAACAATGACACAACATAAAAACATATTAACTTGTACGATGTCAACGAAATTCAAATTAACATGTTATTGATAGCTATAATTGATTTATTTTTTTAATATATAATGTTCTATTAAGAAATCATTTAAAAGTACAATGGTATGATGAAATAGATGAAAGTAAGCGTGCATTTGGTACATTGGATATGACAGAACAAAATATGGATTATTGTTTTCATGTTTGGTAGAACTTTTTATGTAGAAATAGAACGGATAGTAACATAGTGGAATCAAGTGGAATAGACCTGTTCCACCCCACTCCATGGAACAAGGTGGAACAGTGTCGAAGAATAGTGTGGAATATACTTATATTTTACAAATATAACCTCAAAATAAAATCTAATTATTTTCTAAAACATCAAATAAGTCATTTTTTTATATTTTATTCATTCTATTTTATTTATTGTATTTTATTCTTATTAAGCTCACTATATTGTCCTCAAAATATTACTTTTACACGGTTTATATATTTTGATTACTTCATGTAGTTTATTAAATATTGATAATAATAATAAAATATAGATAATGTATAAAATAAAGAATGGAAAGTGCATAAACTTTTTATTTTGACGTCACTTTGAATGTTTTGACGAAACCTTTCTAATTATATATTGTTATAAAAGATATTTATTTTATCATTATTTAATAAATTAGTCAAAACATATAAAATATATAAATAGATCATTAGGAGTAAATTGGTCATTTTATGTGTTTAGCCATTTTCAGTTTTGTCTTACCAAACATTGAACAGTTATTTAGTTATGTTTTGTTATATCCTCTCCTGTCTGGATATCAAAAGCACCCTAAGAAGGCGCTTGGTTCGTAGCAGTCTGAGGGAATTCAAAAGAATTGAAACGATCAATTCCATTGATCAAATTTCATTCAGTCGTTTGTTTACCTGTGGAATGAAATTGAATCCATACATTCCACCATCCATGCATTTGGTCTTCCATCATAGTTAACGAAGAAACTCAATTACATCCCATTTTCTAAAGAGAAAATTATCTGTATCTTCTCAACTTGATCTTAACCGCCGCCAACCACCACTGATCTGAACCACCACTGACCAGCAGTCATCTTCTCCGGCCATCCTCCAGTCATCATCTCCGGAAGGAGAGTGAACATAATAGAGAGTGCGTCTCGGGGCTACCAATAACAGAGAGAGATCTCAAACACACAACAGAAAATCAACAGACCAAACCGATTTTTGAAGGATAAAATCAAGAAAAAAACTCATTCTTGTAGACAAAAACAATGACCCAAACCAATCTTCTGAAGAACAAATACACAGATTTGGGTTTTTCATCATCAGTTTTTCCATCTTTCTCAACCAGCGAAAAGGCCATAAATAAATCAAGAACACAAAAGATATCAACTCCATCAACAAGAACACAACAATAGCAAAAATCCCAAATCTAAATCAAGAGGCCTAAAATCCATTCCATATCAAAAAACCATAACCAAAACCTTAATATACGAAACGATTTCTAGCGAAGGATTTTACCAAAAATAAACGACGCAGACCTTCGAATGCTTCCTTCCATATTGGTAAATTTTCATTTGATGTAGAACCCCATAACCTTCGATAGGGGGTTTCAGATCTGGGATGGATATATGAGGTCTTTAGTTCTAGATTCGATGGAGATGGAGTCTCAACAACGGTGACCGACTTTGTTGGCGATGGAGATTTGGGGTTTTCAGAAAAACCTATTTAAAAAAAGTTATAAAGTAAAATAATTTTTAAATAAAATGGTAAAATGACAAAATAGCCCATCACATGAGGGGCATATGAGTTGTTTAACAAAGCTTATGTCAACAGAGTTAGGTCAAGGGATCTGATTCAAAGTAAAAACAAAACCACGGTGATTATACATGTAATTATTTTGTTTTGAGGACTCAATCCATAATTTGTATAAAACCACAGGGACCAAATTTGTAATTTACTCTATAACCTATATGAAAACAATAAATATAATAAAAACGGGTGAGGTTATATGTAAAAGTACCAAGTTTTCTGCTTGTTTTTTATTTTATAAATAGCTTTTTTTTACAAATGATAAGTTGCTTGTAATAAAAATATTATTATTATATATTGGTTATAAGAATATCAAATTTTAAGATACTGATAAGTTTCGTTTAAATATCAGTATTTATGATTTCAGTGATCTTTGAAGTTATGGAGTTAAAACTTTGATCTTATGAATCGTATTTAGATGCAAGCAATTTTACATGTTTGTTTTTGAATTTCTTGATGTATTCGAACACATATGATATACAGTCATCTCGAATTTAGACATCATGTTTTAGTTTTCTTTAAATTTGAATACAGATTCTTTGATCAAACACCATAATTTAGAGATGTTTGGCTCTAATTATAACATGGTTATAGAAAACCTGGCAAAAGAGTTAAATATATTAATTATAATGATTATATTTTTTTAAAAACTTAATATTAATCACATCATTTTTGGTCAGGTTATAAATGATTAATACGATTCAAATGAAAAGGGAAAAGTTTTTTAAAAAAATAACATTCGGATTTTGTGTCATTAAGTTCCTAAATTTTGTATGAATGGAAGCTTGGAACATGGAAACGTGAAAAAAGAAGTGTGAATTGGAAGGGGAGAGTTCTTTATTGCTAAGGGTAGTTGGGGAAATTTAGGGGAAATAAATGGCCTCGTGTAAAGGTGTGATGTTTTTAGCTGATCAATTAAGTCATCGACTAAGCGAATAAGCCACAACCGAACAACTAATTATATCTTAACGAATAAGTCATATTGGCTATACAGCCCATTAAGCCATGGCCGAACAACCTCTAAACATAATATAAGTAATAAAACTATAATAGATATTAAGTTAAAATTAAACAGATAAAAACAGAATAACAATATTCATTTCTGTTAATTTATTTTGATAATTGTTTATAATTTAATTTGGATATATTTCTTGCAAAAAAAGCAAAACCTAAGTAAAAAAAAATTAAAATAGCAAAAAGTTAATGCTTAGTGTGGCTGCTGGGATTCGAGCCCAGGTCTCCACGGCCACAACGTGGAATTCTTACCACTAAACTACAGCCACATCATGTTTGTATTGATACATGAACTTATATATATACATATATATATATATATATATACACTTTACATAAAAAGCTCCTTTGGAATTAAGCTATTTAACATAATTTATTAGAACAAAGTGAATGAAAGGGACCCAATGGATTATAAATCGTAAATCATATGTTTCTAATTCATAATTATTTTTAAAAAGAAATTTAGTATATTATTTATATTATATTATAAAGTATTTGACTCATTCTCTTAAAAATAAATTACCATGCATTCGGTACAATTAATTATTGCATATTACTTAAAAATCAAAAATGCCAGTTAATTATGCATATGTACATGTTTCTAAAGCATACTACTCCCATTGAAATCTTAATTCATCCCTACAATCCTTCTAATCCAACTAACGTCCATATAATCTCTCTTTTTTAAATAGTAGATAGCCATTGTTGATTTCATATTTAATGGGTGGGTTTGACTCAATATTTCTTATAATCACTGTCAACTTCTCTTCCCCACAGCTCGATTGCATCTCTTTCAAGGTAAGCTTCAACCTCATGGATTTCGACCATTGCTTTTGATTGATTTATGGTCTGTATCGATTTTTGTTTCTTTCTTTTTGACTCATTACTTATCGATTCTTTATGGTTTCTTTGTTTGGTTCTTTGTCGGTTTAGGTTTACTTTCTCGGAACTCGATTGTTTCTCATCCCCACATCTTGATTGCTTTTCTTTCAAGGTAAGTTTCAACCTTATGGGTGGCTGTATTGATTGACTATTGCTTGACTGATTTATGATTTGTACTGATTTGAATAGAATTGTGTTTTATCTATTATGTTGTGGAACACAAAGTTCACATAAATCATTCGACAAAAACTTTTAAAAATCATTTTTTATGCATAAAGTACCGTTTGTTGATGCATATTACTTACAATTCAAGATCACAAGTAAATTGTGCGTAAATACAACTTATAAACGCTTCATTTATAAATTTGTATAACTAACTATAGATAAACATAATCAAATATGGGATAGACATCTCATTTTGAATACAAAAAATCTAAAATATAATTAAAATAATCATTAGTTATAACAGAATACTTAATTACTATNTTTATAAAAATTATATTATTAAAYGATAAATAAATTACTTCGTTATTAAATCTAAATAAAATATTGAATTAAAGAAATTAAACAAAAAACCAGAACTTTAAATAGTAAATTTGATACTAATATCGACATATAATTTTTTTTTCAAATTTTTATGGTATATTTGAATTTTTATTTTATTCAAAAATAAAAACACTATCGCTTTCTCAAAACCACTAAAAATCATATTATATCGACATATATAAATAATAAAACAAAACATTAAAATTGAAATATATCTCGTTATATTATGCGAGCATCCTTCTATTAACATATAAACCATGAAGACAGAACATGTAATTTAGGGGTTGTTTACCTGACAAATACTTATCGATAAGAATCAACACTTTTATTTAACTCATTGAGTAAGATTTTAGTTTGTAAAAACAAAGAGCCATCGATCACTTAACCCAACACCAATATTATATTAAATTATTTTATTTTTTATTTATATTTAATGTTTAATATTTAATAAAAATAAAAGAAACCTTCTTTTGAAATATGATCAATCATTCAACTGAATATATGAGTTCATCAGATATTTAGGTATTACATATAATTTTGCAGTAATGTTCTTTAATGAGTTTCATTCTTGTTGGTGAGTTGTTTTTAGTAACCTATACATATTAAAGAGAAATACAAATAATTTTAAAAAGCCGCCAAAACTTTCATCGGGTTATCATATTGGTCGAGTTACTTTGGGCCTAACCCAATAGCTTCGGTTTGCCTCAATTTTGTATCAATTATACAGCGGGTTATCTCGGGTTGATCTCTTTCGGGTTGGGTAAATAATTTATTTTATTTCGGAACCTTCACCGAATATTAGGGGTGGTAATGGGTCAGGTTAGGTTCGGGTTCAACCCATTTATTAAACAGGTTGAAAATCTCAACCCAACCCAACCCATTTAATTAAATAGGTTGAGATTTTTCAACACAACCCAACCTGTTTTCTAAATGGGTTGGAAGCGGGTTGACATGTTTACAATTTTCTTAACCCAACATCTTAAATAAATGGGTTGACCCATTTAATTTTAAAATTTTAAATGAAAAAAAGACTAGACTATTTAATTTTTTTGAATAAAACACAACACAACCACAAATACAAACAAATTGTTTGAAGTTTGAATAAAACACGACCACAACAAATATATTGTTTAAAATAAATTGGAAAATTTTTAATTCTAAGTAACTCGACTTCCACTTTTTCCAATCCCAAAGTTTGGAGGCAATAATGGAGTAATGGACTAAATAATTTTCTTAGGGTTTCATGATGATTAAGAGTAATAGAGGCGATTGGAATTTGAACTTTCATCTCATGACGGTAGGATTTTTAATTAAGAATAAAACAAAATAAAAAAATTAGAATATTATATATAGTATTAAGAACAAAGTAAAATTATATAATATTTTAAATGGGTTGGAAACAGGTTGAACACGAGTTGAAAGCAGGTCGAAAAATTCAACCCACCCCATTTATTTAAATGGGTTAGATGGGTTGACCCATTTATTTAAATGGGTTGAAAATTTCAACCCAGCCTGCTAATTCTGGGTTGGGTTCGGATTGGGTTAGTGGGTTGGGTCATTTTTTTTGCCACCCTTACCGAATATTCATTGAGAAGAAAGTATGATTATGATATAAATGAACCAAACGAGAATTCTTAGGAAAAAGATATTTGAGATCTCTTTCCTTCTTTTTTTCAATTAGATTTATTGTCATAACTTGCATTTCCCAACAAAACGATCTACTTAAACCATGATCAAGACCAAATACATTAATATACTCCTAAAAAATAACTCGAATAAATTCAAGGACATATTAAGAAATTATGACCGCCTATGTTTGTAGTAAACAGTCTCTAATACTTATATTTACTTTTCTTAACGCTTGTTAATTATGATTTTATGTGTGGACAATTCCTCACCCATGGTTATAGACCCGAATCCATTAGTGTGTTCCAAACTCCTATCTTCCTTTCATTACATTATTTTTGAACAAGGTGTTGGAGGTTGTATCTGCACCCCTACCTCAAGAAAGCCGCATAAGTAAATATATAACTTACAGAAAAGTGGCTAATCCAACCAATCTTACTTGTACAATGGAAAGTGCCACCGGTTGGCGAGTTGGGTAGGTTGATCGGTTTTTTGAGCACCCCTACCCAAAGTGGTGATATTGTTCCAAATGCCCCCGAGACCTTGGGATCTTTCATACCCCCAGTCCAAAAAAAACCTCAGTGTAGGTGATTTTAATGTCATCAATCATTTGGTTTAACTGTTATTTACTTGAAATCAATTAAGGTTATAAAGCAAACAATGTGAGTTAGAAGGTGTAGAGTGCAGTCGTGCACACTCACTAATGTTTCCTCTACCACCTTAGATCGTCGAAAGGCAGGGGTCAAGGGGGTTGCGCTGCCTTGAGGGGTCCAAGGGGCAGTGCTCCTAG